GGAGTGAAAGTCAAAGCAACAGCATCTTGCTCTGCCCATGCCCACTGTTGAGCAGTTTTTCTTCACTACAGAAGCATCAGCAGAGGGAGGAAGGCATCAGCAAAGAGATTTACAGAGCTATCCTAATTCTGGGCAAAGGTGGACTAACACCATACAAAGTGATACCTGTGAATCCCTTAAAATGCCCCTTTCTATCAGTTGTAGAGGAAAGGTCTTGACAACACTGGAAGCAGTGGGAGTTTTGCCATCTAACAGTTCTACCATTGGTATAATGAAGCCAGAAGTTACTCCAAAGTCCTAAATTTTCTTGACTCTTCACACAGATAACTTCCTAAGAAAAGATTCTCTGAGTATTTACCATCCTCTCTTTAAACATAGTAGTGTGTGTACAATAAAACCTACCTTGTGCAGCTCTATGGCTCCCAGGGAATCTTCCTGGGTAAAATAGATACACAAATGTAGTCGCCCATATGTACAAAATCCTAGTTTCAGGATTTCAGTTAAGACTTTTCTCTATTCAATATCTATTTCACATAAATATATTTTAAGTTTCCTACCATTTGCTTATAAATATACCACAACATTTCTAGAATTTAAGCTAAAAGCATTTTTAATACAAATATCTTTAAGGAGAGTTGATTCCCTGAAGATTCTTAGAAAGGAGGCTGCTACTGTATAAGCACTTGTATTTGATTAACCACTTAGAAAAAAGGAATAGATTAATTATTAAAATGAGTCCTGTAGTGCACCTGAGCACTGAGTGAGTGCTGACTCCCACCAACATCGCAGGGAGGGGGCTAAGGATGCTCAGCATCCCACAGGATTGGGCTGCAATGAGATAGCCAGAGACTTGTGGTACAATAACTCTGCTGTTTACCCAACAGCATAGAATCATGGAATTTAAACAGCAGTTTGAGGTGGTTTGTTAAAAAATGAAATAGTTCAGTACTGGGCTTGGAATCGCTGCAGTTCCCTTTTCGCCTATTAGCCTTGCCCAGCGGCCCATCTCAGGACATGCAGCAGCTTCTCTGACTGCTCAGCCATGTAATAACACTGAAACAAAGGCACAAGGACTTGCCCTGTCACGCTGTAAAATCGTTATTCACTTGATAAAACTGCAGTAGTGCCACTGTACTTCATGCCTTGGGCTTGCCCAGTGCTGCTGAGTGGCCATACTCATTACCCAGTAACTTCCCTCCTGGAGCAGACATGCAGCAGCCGCAGTCCCCAGGCTGGCCCTGGCCAGGCCTGCGCATCGCCTGCCCCAGCTCAGTGTCACAGCTGCCTGCACACGGTGCTCTGTTCTGCTTTGCTGCCTCTGTGTTTTGCTGTTCTGTTTCCATTCACCTTGCCTGTCACCTCCAGGCAGCTTTAATTATAACATCTTATAAAGCTTAGCCAACAAGAGCTGAAGAGTATGCTTTAATTACAAAAATCTAAAACGTGACTGCAACCAAAACACAATATTTAGCAGTAAGTATCTTCTGGAATCTTTTTTAGATGTTTCAGTGTCTCTTATCCCCAGTTTATTCCAGCCAGAGTATTAGACATCTACGGCTCTTTGTGCCTATCTATGAGGGCTGCTCCAAAAGTAATGCCTCCTATTTTATTACGTTGGCTCACAATGTCATGGGGATGTTGGTAGCCAGGCAATAGAGATTGAAGCTTCCCACCAATATTCCATTACATTTTGTTGCTGTGTGACAGATGGCAGCAGAGGGGCAGTCTGACAAAATGGTGTCTGACACAGACATGCTTTTGAAGCAAAGGTGTGTCATGGAATTCCTCTGTGCGGAAAAAACAGTACGCATTGACATTCAGCAATGCTTGCTAAACATTTATGGAGACCAAACAGTAAATGAGAGCACAGTGAGGTCGTGGATGGTGCATTCTAGCAATGGTAACAGTGATGTGAAAGAGAAGCCATGTTCCAGATGGCAACACAGACTTTTATGAGCACAGCATGCAGGCTCTTGTTCATTAGCACAGCTAATGGTGGTGACTATGCTGAAGTAGTGTTTTGTATCTGAGAACTTGCTCTGTCAAACAGTGTTCTTATGCTGTTTGTATCTATTGTAGTTTCCATGGAAAAAAAATAAAAGGCACTACATTCAGAGTGACCTTCATATATTTTAGAAGCCTTTTGTAGCCTACTACCTGCATTTATTCATTTGAATCTCACTTATTGATAAAAAGGAAAAATGTCTTAAGTGGTCGTATCTTATGCCAGGCAATTTGGGTGTTTCACTTCTCCTTCCATCTGTTGAAACACATATGGCTCTTTGAGGATATTAGATATATGAAGGCCATTTCCCCTTTAGTCCTCTGTCCAGCCATTGAACATGAACTTTTTACTCAGCATTTCCCAGAAATAGCTGTGATTACCAGCATGCCTATGGTAACAAATATGCAGGGTCTTAGGCTGAAGCATAGTGTGTTGAACTTAACATACTTGTTAGAGTACCAGTTTTCTGCACACTTGAATATTATTAGCATTATTAACATTATCTATGTTTCTCTTGGGTTTATGTATGATTTTCTGTTATTGATTTCCCTCAAGTGTTGCTGGATTTTCTGCATTGCAGGACAGTTACAACTACCTTACTGTTACCTATTTGAGGTCCTCCAAAGGACAAAGTGCTGTGCCAGAGTGCTCTAAGTTAGGCTGAAAGAAAATTCCCTGAAACCTACTTTTTTGAGGCACTGAAGATTGTATGAAACAGCCTATGCACTTGGCTATGATATTTTTTATTAATGGAGTGCTTCTAAATGGGGTAAAAACGTACTTAAGGCTTTAATAAATCTTGGGAATGAGCGGGTGTTTCAGAAGTTAAGCTCGCTGCCATTACCCTGTAACGATACCTCCTGAGAGGCTACCTGAGACATGTCAGTGCGCTGTGCCTGCACTCTGCAGCTGGCTCTGAGAACTGGTGTTAACCTCTCCCGCTCCCCTGACACATTCAGATTATTCCCATCAGAATGAGTTGATGAATGAAAGGATCATAGTTAATGGGTATTACCTCAACGCAGAGGGCCAAATCCTATTATCCTGTGCTACAGACAATGTAAATAGTATTTGTGTAAAGGAGCCCCACTGGCATGAAGAGAAATGGAGACCTCTACCACGAGGCCCCACATTCCCCCTCCGCAGTCCCATCCTTGCTCAGCAAAACCTCCCCAGTTCTGCAGCTGTTTTCCATGACCAAAGGATAATGGAGTCTGGCTCACAGAGCTTCATAAAGAGCCTATTAGCAGCAATAGGAAGGCTCTCATTGACATCAGTGATGTCAGTGACGGGCCAGCAGGGAGGAGGCTTGGCTGCACGGTCGTGCTGACAGCTTCAGAAGAGGTACTGGGGTGCTTTCTCCGTGCTTGTGGTACTTTGATCACTTTTTTCAGATTACTTTAATAAGTACATTAGGTGGGTTACACAGATTACAGTGTGTGTTCCATGTTATTTGGTATATTATTCACCAACAAATATAAGATAAAAAAGTAAGTCTGCATATAATTACCCATAACTGCTGACTGACTTATAATTAACTTTGAAAAATTGCTGGTTTAGGAGATATTACAGATTACAATTTTAAATACAAAGAGCTTCGGAATAGCTCTCATGATCAGTGAAAGTACAAGGTATTCAGTGAAGGATTAATTCCCTAAACTGCTAATCAGCTCTATCTCCTGTCTTATCAAATTGTAAATACATTATGCTGTATTAAAGTATGAGCATGCAGCTAATTAAAGCAGAGCCTGAATTTAATATCAGATACTCCCACCCGACATAACAAAAATGTTCCAAAGACATACATAACAAGTGCTAACAAATGAAAGCAATTCTTTTAAAAGTGATGCTGTGTTTATATAGCAGGCTTTTGTTTTCATTTTGGAGTGGTTTTCTGTGTTGTTTTTATTTTAAGAGAAAGGAGAGAGGTAAACCACACTGTCTTTCTGGAGAAACAAGTTGGGGAAGACATTAATTCTATTTGGTTTGCAGCTGTAAGCCCACAGCAACCAATCAAGGGATTACAACCAAGGATTTACAAATATACATCCAGATAAAATTTGGTTCAATTATTAACATTGCAAATAGATTCTGATGTTAAATGCTGCAAACCAAAATAAGTGTTCTTTCAAAAAGCAAGAGAGCAAACTCATCTACATTGTTAAAGGAAAGCAATAGAAATTTAAATGAATATTCAGTGAAGCCTATCTGAGCAAGCAGAGGTTCAGAACCATAACTGAGCATCATTTACAAAACTACTTCCTTTAGTTGTTCTTTTGTTTGTTACAAACTCAAATAAAGCAATATGATTATAAGGAAAGCAGAAAATGTACGCGCGCGCACACACACAGATTGTCCACCAATGAAACAAACATAAAATGGAGGAGAGAATACCCTGCATGGAACCTTTCAGCAAAGTTAGTTTTTTAAAATTTCTTTACATAAGCATCAAAGATATTTATACCACTTAAAACTTTTCACACCCAAAAGAGCTCAGAACATACGATGTTATTAATGTGACGTTAATGTATTAATATGATATTTATGTAACAAAGATGTGCATTTTGTCAAAATTGATGCAGTACTGTATCATAGAAAATCCATGGCAGGAATCATCCTCAGGGATCCTCTCCCTCTCTTCTCCCTCTCCTCTCCCTCTCTTCTCCTCCCCATTTGCTTAAACATCTCTACTTACAGAAAAAAAAAATCAGACCATGAAATCAGAGATTTACCAATAAACATTTGCAGACTTTTGGTAGGGATACTATTGAGATAAGATAGCGTTATTACCTTGTTTGATCAATCTTTATTATGGGGCTCATATATTTTTAATGGACGTGGATCAGAAAAGAGTTTCCCTCTCCCCGCTCCATCACTGGATTCTCTAGGTTTTATGTACACAGAAACTTTATCTGACTTGTTCCGTTTAAATGTGTTACTGAAACTCAAAATCACTCCAGTTTGAACTAAAAGTTCTTCTCTTTACTCTCCCCAGGTTAATTTGCTGGCTTTCGGAGTGATTATTTATAAAGTATTTCGACACACTGCAATGTTAAAGCCAGAAGTTAGTTGTTATGAAAATATAAGGTAAGTTTGCCATTTAATACTATTTTAAACTTCTGTTTAAACAGAATAAAGCCAAATGTGAAATTAAGGATTCAAAAACAATAATTTAAACTTCTGGAAGATTTATGGAAATACTGAAGTGGTTTTCTTCTATTGTCATGTATATCTGGAGGTAAACTTTGCAGTCTTTCCTTCTCCTGACCAATGCCTCATGCAGTAACACTGGGCTTACTGGAGATGTATGAAAAACACTACAAGAGATCCATGTCAATCAAAGGGTAAAGGCTGAGGGGAGGGTTAAAGTAGTAATTGTACTTTCTGCAGCCTCTATACAAGTCAAAATATACCCGAATTAGGACCAAAATATTTACCTTGAAGTAACAAGGCGTACAGAAATCCTGTGATAAGAAAATCAGACCATTTTTATTAGTAGTAAAAAGCCCACAGTAGGGCATTGTGCTTCTATGGTGTTGAGGAGTGGGGGCTTCCTCTCCAGGATTTTTACTTTGCATGCTGTTATGATTTTTCCATCAACTCACTCTCTTTAAAACTGATTTATAGGAACCTTGAAAACCGTTTGTGCAGGAAAAGCTGAAGTGTACTACAGGGAACATTGAAAACAACTTACTGTTTGTGTTGCTTAGGAACACTCCTGCAGTTTCAATGCACTGCACTAAATTTATAGTTAGGATTTAGCAATTGTTTGATTGATTACTTTCTCTTATTCCTTACCCTTCATAGCTTCATGTGGTGAGCAGGTTTTAATGAAGTTGAAAATTATTCATTTTCCAAGGAACAGTGCTAAAAATGTCTGTTGTTCAAAGGAAGTCCTGCAATGACTAGGCTGAGAATGAGTAAGAAAGTAATCAGTGGTTTCATTTCCAAGACAACATGCTGCAATTTGCTTGAGCCCGTGAACAGGGCTTTACAGTATGTTGAAAAAAAAAATCATAGCCAATCAGTTCCTGTAATTTTAAAGCATCAATACAGTGACCCAGGAAATATTTGAGAGTATAAATGTTGTAAAAACAAAAATATATTTTTAAAAGGAGAAAGAATGAAAGCAGGAAAGTCTAGGTTTACAGCTGGCACCATCTTCTACAGTGAATCTGAGAGGCAGCCTAAGAACTCTTTGATGTCATGCACATGTACTGACCTAAGAGCATACTGTACATTTTTCTGGGTTATTTTTTGAGGAGGATAAGGGGGAGGAGGAAAAGCGAGAGAATGCTTCATAACAGACATATGTTTTTCCTTGGGGAATTACACTAACAGTAGATTTAAATCAAATCATATGGTGCTGCAGTACACCAGAGAAAACATATCTGAAGATTAAAGAAGCCAGTGTTTTAAGGCCCTCCAGTTTTACTCTTTTGCTCTTCTGCAGTGATTGTGTGAGCTTATTTGTGTCACAGTGCTACAGCACACCCTAAAGAACAACCCATGCATTTGCACTTCTAAGGCCTTCACAGAAAAAAAATAGATTGCCTAGACAGCATTCCCTAAGCCAAGCAGCAAAGGGATACGCAACATGTTTGCATTTGTCTACATTTCCCTAGGTCCTGTGCCCGAGGTGCTCTCGCTCTCCTGTTCCTCCTTGGGGCTACCTGGATCTTTGGGGTCCTCCATGTCGTCCAGGGCTCCGTGGTTACAGCCTATCTGTTTACAATCTTCAATGCATTTCAGGGGATGTTCATCTTCATCTTTCTTTGTGTGCTGTCCAGAAAGGTGAGTGTCCTCATAGGGAGCCACAGGGGCCCTCAGGTGTGCCCAGGACAATACCCAGAATTGAAACAAAGTCGTGTGGACGGTTTTTCAAAGCAGGAAGAAACCCTTGTGCCTTTCATGGGAGTGGGAAGGAAAGAGGGGAAATACTGCTGTTGCCTTCTGGGAAGACAGAACATCTTCTCTGTTCTTACCTTTGCACCTATTTTCTTCCTGTTTAAAAAAAAAGAAAAGCTTACAGAAGATTAAAAAATGAACTTGTAAAACTCACCAGTAACCAGATGAAGCAATGCAATGGATACAGTAAAGCTCACTTCCATTCTTTGCAGTTAGTAACAGCATTCGCACTCCCCAAACAGTTTTGAGATTATCCAGTGTCCTGTCCTACAGTCACAAGCAGCCCCACCTTAAAATATGTAATGAAGTGATTAATACACAATTAGTTAAAACACATAAAGATACATATATAAAAAATTATCTATTTCATGTTTGGATTCAATATTTTTTTTTTCAGATTCAAGAAGAGTATTATAGGTTGTTCAAAAATGTTCCTTGTTGTTTCGGCTGCTTAAGATAAATAGAAGGAAAATCTGCATGAGCATCTTGGTGGAAAAGGGGAGCAACCTAGATCATGTCATTATGGATATTACAGGAAAAAGCGGTATTGTACAAGCATGAAATGACCCAGAGCAGGCATATTTCTTAAGTGATTTACTGACTGTTTTTGTACATATGTGTGCATTCAGGCAAAGCATTTATATTATGCTGTATACAAACAGTATATGAAACAAACTGGATTGTCACAGAATATATATTAACAAAGACCAAGGAATAAGAAAATTTCAAAACCAGCTCAGGACTTTTCATGACTTAGGTTTTGTTTCTGGTATTGGAAATATCTTCAGCTCTTGGAAGAGAAATATCAAGAACCAGCTAGCACAGCAGATTTTATTAATTACTTGATAGTGGAATCATACTCATTGTCTGTCTGTAGTAATGAGCTTCTTACATTCAGTTGTGTATGACCATCTGCAGTGAATGGGTTCTATTAAAAAGTCAATAGATAAAGATCTGCTTCAGCACAGACTTTTGAAAACATTTCTTTTAATTTAAAGTAGATTTAAAAAGGAATTTGTTTAATATTATTCTCTTATCACTCTGAAATATATATCTGTATATTAATCAATTCTTTATTTTTATAACTTTCAAAGAATAGTTTAGATCTAAAGGAACTGAGGTCAGATCTGATGCAAGAATGGTATCAGTATGGAACAGCCATTTCATAAGTGAAAGTTTATTTTGTGAATACTTTGAAAAAGATCTGGTTCTTGTTTTATTTAATTGCCAAAAAGACTGAGATCTGCTAAACTGGCACTATGATCTGGGAGGCACTGGGAAGGAAATACTTTATGAAGTTTGTCACTTGGTAAGGACACGTGGAATCCAAACCACATAGGATCAAATGGAGGATCAACTGAAAACTAGAGTGGTAGAATTCACCTGTGCAGAAAAGTACAGATTTAAATTCAAGATCATGTGCCTCCATGAAATTGTAATTACAGCAGTTTTCTCTATTTGTAGCACCCTTGAGTCAACCATTTCTCTTCCTCCAATGCTCCTGAATTTAGAACATTTGTCCTGTGTTTATCCTTTAGAGCATACACAGATCTGCTGAAATCAGAGAGAATTTGTTGTGGTGCAAGCTTTGCTGCATCAGGGCATAGATGTGTTACATCAGCATCTCCAGCTGTGCCATCATGCTCATGTTCTTTTTTAAAGTATGCTTTAATTTCATCCTTTTAGCACCTAGTTAATGTGAAGCACTGAGCCTCATTCCACGTTGCCTTCTAAGGAAGTGTCTAGGATCTCAGAAGAAGCCATTTATTTTTACCAGTCAGACACTGTAAATATGTAGTTGTTAATAAATCCCACTGTTGTTTTGTCTGTTAAAATAAAGTACACTCTGAATTTTATTTATATTAAAGGAATTCCTTTTTTACTAACGGTCAGATTTGTTTGGATTTTATCTTTTTTTCCATATACACAAGGCTTTCATTTTATGTACAGCAATGATGTGCTTTATTATGTATATTCCATGTCTCTGTCAAAATTTTGGAAACCTCAAGAGGAATCTCTTCTTTTCTGGAAAAAAAAAAAGTATTTCAGATGGTCCTTTGAATGTAAAATATGTGAATAAACTGAAATGCTTAGCTTTCACATTTTAACATATTTCCCTTCATTTAAATAAATACAGTGGAAAAGTTCTCATGGTTATATATTATTTGCCCTGAATTATTCGCTGTATTTCCTTTGCTGCTCTGTATGTTCCCCCAGGTTTGCAAAAATGCAAATATTACTCAGCAGAGTCTTTTTAGAAGGATATCTATTAATGCATCATTTTTTAATCTCTTGCAGAAGTCTAACCTATACTAAGACTGGTTGGACAGAGTAGTATCTCTAACATAATGACTTAGTGCAATTGAAAAAAGTTTCCTTGGAAAGAAAATATGTCATGAAGTGTTTAGGTTACAATAGTCTTTTTAATGAAAGAACATCTTTTATAGGAAAACTGTGCACTCCAATATCTGGGTCAGATCATCGTTGAAACTCTGTTTTCCTTACATGCAAAGATGAGATTTATGTTTTAATACAGAACATAAGAGCAGACAAAATTTGCTTAGATTCATCACCTTTGAGCCTGAAAGATATTGTTATTGTCCTCCCTAAAGCATGCAAATATACTGATGAGAAACAAAAGGGTTTATTTGTCACTGTCCTTACTAACACGAGCCCCAGCCCAGCAGAAAGGGAGGAGAAGAGGTAACCGGCATAAACTGAAAAAACCACGGATTTCAACATGACACCAGAAAAATCTTTTTCAGCATGAAGCTAATTGAGGATTGGAAATGGTGTTCCAGAGAAGTTGTGCAGCTGTGTTAAAATCTTTGGAGTTTTTAGGACTGGATAAAGCCTCTAGCAACCTGATCTCATACCTGACCCTGCTTTGAGCAGGAGAGGGGATGAGATACATTCTGAGGTCCCTTCCAGCCTGAATTATTTTATGAGTTTAGGATATCAAGTATCAAACTGGAAAAATAACAGTTGGGCATCAGTTACAGGCAAAGTAAGGAAACCTGTGCTCAAGTCATCCATCAGCTGAACAAGTTGCTTTCCCAAAAATAAATGTGACCTATTTGTCAGATCAACTGGTAACTAGTTGGCTGGTTTGATGTCTTCAGCATCTTTTCAGACTGCATTCTTTTGAGGGGAATATTACATCTTCAGGTGGGGCCAGCAGGAAAAAAAGACTCAAAACAGTGATTGACAAGACAGATAAAAGTAAAATGTTAAGGTTTCACTCTGAAAGCAAGTGCTTGCTGAAGAGAGAAATTGTTTTCATTAAACCAATCAAAGAGAAATTTGTGTTCAGTGTTGCATTTCGAGATGTGCTTCAGAATATAATAAATAAGGTCTGAATTAAAAATGACTAGTTTATTCTGAAATAATTATTTCTTCAAACAATAGGATGTATATTTCAAGGAAAAGGCAACATTTTAGAGTTAATTATCATCACAGCCTTTGGGGAGTTTCAGCTTGGCAGAGCTGTGCTGATGGCCAGCTGATCTTTACCTTTGATGAGGTAGGTAGGCACTGACTGACCGAAGTGGCTTCAGACTTTCCTCTGCTCATCAGTTTTCACAGTCCTCAGGACATGGTGATGCCTTGAAGTCAGGAATTTGTATACTCATGCATCTTTTCAACTAGACATTAAAAGGAATGTTGCACATGATGCCATTAGGCAGAAGGAGCAAATATTTGCAGGGCTGGTTCCAGCAGCTGCATCTCTCTTCACACCAATAATATCACCTTTTACATCTTTGTCATGATATTCCTTTACAGACCAACTCAGAACCACACTCTTGGCAGGTGTTTGTTAGTCACAGAAGTCCAGCATTCTTCTTTGAGAACTTTATAGATAAGATTAAAAACTGAAACTTAACCCATGAAGCAAGTTAAAACTTTTTTTCCTTTGGTAAAACAGGAGGAGGGGGAAGGGCCTCGAGACAACATCCTTCTGTGTTATTCTTTTCTCTCTGTTCTTATGCATTCAGGACACACAGCATTACTGTGCTGTGAAATTACAAAAATGAAGATATTACCTTACCGAAGTCATCCCCCAAAGCTATTTTTATATAAAATTAAGCCTGTAAGACTGATGCAGACTTGGAAACAGCTGGCCATCAGTACAGCAATAGTCCGTTTAACCACAACCAAAACATCAAGTGCAAATGTGTGAAAGCATTTTCACAAGTTGCCTGGTTCCCTGCCAGCCCAGCCCTCATAGCCAATGCTGTGAGCAGCCCGACCATACAGACTGCAGCAGAGTGAAAGACCATGGCGCCTTTTTCAGACTCTGAATCTCCATGACAACCCATTGAACAAAACCATACGGAGAACCAAGAGCCCTCGAGCATCCAGGCTTTGCCAGGAGTCAAATACATGGCCACACATGGTACCTGGAGATCCTGGAACTGCTGCTTTAAAACAAGCCTCAAGATGTGACTGTGAGCACCATAATTCTGTCAGCTTTACTGTTACGCAGCACAATTGACAGCAGCAATTTTACTAGGTGGGAAAAAAAAAAAAAAAAAGACCAGAAACTGAAGGGAAAGAAAAAGAAATAAACAAAAAGTAGCAGTAAAACCAACTGCTGAGAATATACTAATATTTTGCAATCTGAAGCCAAGGGAAAAGGTAAAAAAAAAAAAAAAAAAAAAGGCACAGAAATTATCATGAGACTTAAATATGATTATTGACAAATTATATTTATGATAATAAGACCTTATTTTGTTTTTCTTGAGGCCTTAGTTTTACAGTTCACAATGTAGGCCTGTCCTTTTCCAGGAAATCCTTCTCCTGAGCTGTCCCTTTAAATTTGGCAGAAGCTGTGCTTGTATAGAAGTTGTTTTACAGCTCTATGCTTTTTCTCATCTTGCTGGTAAGTACTCAAATTTTATTGTGTTTACTCTTTTGGATTCCCAAGGAAATAGCATATTTTCATCAGGTTTCATAACATAGGGGAGTTTTTCTGTTTTCTGAAGCATTGCTGGATGTTCTAATTAAAACCAGCTCTAAGATTAGCCATCAGTCTTCACTACAGTGCAACAGGCACTCCCTCCCATGTAAGCCTTTGTATTTATCATAGCTATTTGTATAAATGCTGTAGTCAGCTCTGAATCCACATAAACCTAACACCATTTAAATTAATTTTGGAAGAGTTTTGCGAGACACTGCTGAATAATTTAGTCAAATCTAAGATGATTACAACCAGTTCTTCTTTATAGTAACTAAGTAAGTTAGAACTCTTATGCAAAAGGTTTTTTTTGTTGCTGATTTTAAGAAGCAATTCTGTTTATATTGTAAAATTTTGTGGGAAGTACTTGGTTGCTAATATCCATAAATCAGTTATATTTTAGTCAGGGTAGGGATGTATTCCTCCTGTGTTAGGCCCATTATTATTGAGACTAATGGATTGAGTTAGAGGCAGCAATCTTCAAAATCCCTTTCCTCTCTCTTTGAATGTTTCTGCAATAAGCAGACTTCTGGCACCACCTTGGCTTCTGATGGGTTTCAGAAATAATTGTTGATGATACAGTAAATTTGTTTTCTATCCCTTGTGCTTAAATCCCAGTCTCACAAACACTCATGCATTTGCTTGGTTTTATGCACGACTAAGTCTTTGGCGTTAATGAGACCGCTCATGTGCATAAAGCTAAGCATATGTGCAAGTGTTGCATGATCAGGGTCTTAGGATGCCAATTTGCAGTAATAACAGATTTGCATAAACTCATGATCCCAAGCACTGTGCTCCCTGCTCGTTATCAATAGTGAAATTCATTTAGCTGTTTCTCATTCAGTGATGTTGCGGGTTTTGTTTATTTTTGCTTTTTTTTTTTTTAAGGTGAATTTAAGGATGGTTTTCTTGCCACTAATGAGTTATTGCTGATTTCATCTTTATTTTCTGTCAATACATGGGAGCTGTTCTCCCTGTTTGCATATGTACAAATGCCCACTTTTCCCATGTTATCATCATCTCATTCATGCTAGTGATGAAAGATCAGATCACACTTTTAAAGCTGAAAATATGTTCCTTGCTGGATAAGAAAGGTGCAGAAACACCATGCACAAATTCCCAGCTAGGGCTCATCAAACTCCTGTGAACAAGTCATGGCTTCTGTCATCAAGGGGTTAGGCCCAAAATTAAATTAGTAGCAGCTGTAACCCATTTGGAATAGATGCCAGCCAAGGGAGAGGCAGCTTGAGCACCTCTTCAGCAGGTGGCTTGCATGGAAGCAGAGAAAAGTAAGTTTATCCTCACTGAAACTATAGCATGTGTTCTAGTGAGGGATAATCCTCCTTCTTACTCTCATCTCCAGCTTGTTTTTGTTATGATCTCCACTTAATGCCTATAATATAACTTCTAAAGACTTCAAAGTTCAACTCCTCCTTCTCAGAAGCAGTGGTGCATATAGAGCTTCTCTGAATGGATGGGGCAAGTACCAATGAGAACATACATACCTTTCAGAGAACCTCCCCTCCATGGTATGCCCAGTTCATATGCAGTTGTTTTCCAGCCCCAAGTCTAACCTGCAGAGGCTGGAGTGAGTGCATCATTTGACTTTGCAGTGGGGAATTGATTTTAGTGCTGCAAATGGCAGTGCTTGATGGGTGATAAAACAAAGGCTTGGCTGTCTGCTAACTCAAATATGTGAAGTTTTCAAAGGTTGGGAGGGAGAATAGATTTGTGAACAAAATGGATGGCAGAAGAGTGATCATCCAGAGAACCACGCGCTTCTCTGTCTGAACAATTGAACTTGATAAAAAGTGAATAATACAGGGGAAAAGGAGGCAGTGTCATTTTAAGAAGGAGAAAAGAAAGAAAAAAAACAACCCAGATTTATGGATTATTGGGAAAATGAGAGAAGCATCAAATGGTAACAGCTTCCAAGGATGTATCCCCTGAAGCTAAACAAAATTGAAAAGGCATCAACTGAATCTTAAAGCAACTCTCAATGATGTTCTACATGCTACCTTTTTAATGAATGATTTGTATGCAACACTTCTAGGCTACAAATATTATGGGTTAGTGAATCAGACAGCACTATCCTGAAGAAGCATCAGGAAAAAGTTTACAATAATAGAGCAAGAGGGAAAGATCCTGTGGTTCTGCTCAGCTTCCATGAAACCATGTAAGCCTCTGAGATTTATATACACTATCACATGCTTTGAATGATCTTGTTTTTTTCTCTTTGATAAGTATGGCTTTCCTAAAAAAAAAAATAAAATTATATATATATGTAGCGGTACATAGACTGTAAGCCACAAATGAAT